GACTCCATCACCGCCAATAAGTAACTAAATAAATACTAAGATTATTTAATATGGGGATGTGAGCCATCAAGGGCAAGACTCTAATAATTGTCTACAAACATTTGTCCTTTATTAAGTTAGGGACAACAAAGACAATATTATCGTGTATGATTTAATCATGTGCTAAATGTGTATGACTTTGTTAAATTTTATTTCCCTTTTGTTTCAATTGTGGTTCTCATTTTTTTGGGGGGGGGGAGGGTCCAGTTGTGGGGCCTGTACTCTGGGCCTGGGCGCTGTCCCTCAGCTCTTCAGTTCAAGGCTAGCGCTCTACCACTTGAGCCACAGCGCCACTTCCAGCTTTTTTTCTTTTTGCTAATGTTGTGCTGGGGAATTGAACCCAGGGCCTCACGCATGCAAGGCAAGCACTCTACCACTGAGCCACCTTCCCAGCCCCTGTGGTTCTCATTTTTATTAAAGAATTGATTTAAAAAAGGTTTTGCCAGGCACTGGTGGCTCATGACTGTAATCCTAGCTCCTCGGGGGATTGAGATCTGAGGATCTCAGTGTGAAGCCAGCCCAGGCAGGAATAGGTGAGACTCTTATCTCCAATTAACCACCAAAAAGCAGGAAGTGGAGTTGTGGCTCAAGTGGTAGAGAGGCAAAAAAAGTTCAGTGACAGTGAGTAGGCCTTGAACTCAAACCCCAGTAATGGCATGGGGAAAAAAAGGTTTTTTTCAGCCATCCATTTAGATCAAGAACAGGAAGTAAATACTCAAGCCTCTTATAAATACTTCAGATGTAAATTCTACCAGTGATTTCCATTAAGAAGAGCAGTTGCTTCATAATCATTAATTCGCTTAGCCATGGGCCTGAGACTAGCTCCATATACAAGGCTCACAATAGAACAGCTTGGCTAACAAAAATAACCATAAAAATCATATTAGTCCATTTATAGACCATGTCCAGCCAAGGAATTAGAATTAGGCGGGCCCCATTTCTAGAGGATCTTTTCCATTAACACTGAGGACTATATGGACTCTAATCAACCATTATAAAATTATGCATTGTTTATTCTTCTTTCAAAGCAGCAAAAGCTGCTGTATTGATGTTATTGGGTGGAAGAGTAATTTAGATAAGCCCTCGGGTTTACGTAGCATACAAGAAGGCTTTATGGGATCTAATCTTTGCTAAACCTGTTATGTTCTTCGGTTCAGCAGAGCTTCCTAATTGTAGCTATTAGTTCCTCCTTTTTTGCGGTCTGCTCTGTCAATAGACTATTGAGTGTTCGGTAAATTAAGGCCAACCAGCAGCCAACACATGGAGACAGCCGTTCAATCATAGCTTGGCTGCCCTTATTCACGATTAGAATCTGTGGCATTGCTCTTAAGCCCAGGGACAGGATTTAACAGGATGCACACTTGTGTCATTCTCAAATTTCCATACTGTACAATCAGGTATGTGGGATTTTTTTGTCCTAGGCGACAGGTGTGTTCTTGGAACAAAGTTCAACCCCCACGTCTGGCTTATGTGAGGCAGCAGCTGCAAGCTTAATTCCGGTGACACATGGTCTGTAAGGGAGGAAAAATAAACTACTTGTTCAAAGTACTAACTGGGCAGATGGGCCATAGCTGCCCGTGCCCCTCCGAGCCAGGCCCTAAATTTTCATGACAAGTATTTCTCTTCTCCTTTTCGTTTCTGCCTTTCTCTCCTTCTCTTCCTGCCTCCCTTCCTCACTCCCTTCTCTCCCTTCCCTTTTCCCCCTTGCATTTAAACATCAAATTCTTTAGACCCAAAGTATTCATTATCGAGAACTATCCTTGTTCAGAGTCATGTGGTCTGACGAATAGGAAGGGAAAACTTAAGTCACACTTTACAACTCTTCTAGTTCTAAAAAGAACTTAAAGAAGACTGTTCTATAAATCCTCCATTAAAAACCATCAAAGTGCTTATTTATAAGCCTCTGTTTGCTCATTCCATGCTGCTCTCTAGAATTTTGTGAGGTAGTATTACTGCGCGTTCTGATGTACTATGTACCCCAGCACACACCACGGTGAACTAAAGGTAATTACTGGGAAAGTTTAAGAGAGAAGTCTTGCAAAGCATCTTTTTTAAAAAAAAAAAATCTTGGGAATAATTAATATCCTTTTGTGTATGCTAGTGTTTCAGTATATTTACCTAAGAAATTCAAACATTATCTTAGTGTGTAAGAAGAAAGCATCTGCTTCTTTTTTTAAATTTTGTTTTGTTTTTGAGATAAGGTCTTTCTAGGAAGTCCAGAGATAGGACCTCTCTAACCAGGTGACCCTGAACTCATCGTCTCCCTGAGTGCTGAGACTACAGGCATGCACACCACTCTAAATGCCATAGGCAGTTTCTTGTAAGCAAAGACACAGAGGAAAAGAACAGATCAGCCCAATGACAGAGCCACGGGGTACATTTGAAGTGGACATGTCTTAGTACCTAGACTTCCCTGTCTTTAAATACAATAAACTTTCTCTTTCACTGATGGGCATTTAAAAAGAAATACTGAATACAAATGGAGCTGATATAAAGGACTTTTATTTTTCTGAGCGGTGGCAAACAAATAGATTGAGGTGTGACGAGAAGATCATCTATTTAATTTCAGCCTTGGAGCCTTTGGTGTCACTGCACATGGCATCTAACTGGGGGAGGAGGAACTATAAAGTCCCTTTGCATTTTGCTTTCTTATACCCCAAACCACAATGTATTCAAGAATCAACTTTTCTTTGACTATGTACTTACAATGGCTTTGCCAGGCCTGTCCCAGTGAAGGGAAATCTCTAGGCAGATGGTTTTAGAATTCAATCCTCAAAGGCAAACAAAAGCCAGTGAAAAAAGAACCTGGGGACAAATTTCTTCTGAGGATTTTTAATGGACTGACTTTTTGGATTTTTCATGAAATGCACTTAGATAATGACTCACTTTAGAGATGATGTTAACATTAAACACACACACACAAAGTTTCTCTAGCTAGAAGGCTGGTCCAGACATCTTTAGAAGTCTCTTCCAGTCTAGGGATTTTCAAATTTTTTATTTTAGCCTTTTACTTCAGGTTGTGCTTTTAAAGAAAAATTATGGTAAAATACATTAACAAAATTTATCTTCATATCCATTTTTAAGTGTACAGTTGAGTAGTATTCACATGGTTGTATAAACACTCTCCAGAAAGCCTAAACTCTTAGCATATAACAGTACTGTCTTCCTTGTTAAGGTTGTATAATATTCCACTGTATACAAATGCTGCATTTTCTTTATTCATCAGCCAATGAACACTTACTTAAGGAACTTCCTTCCCTTTGACTATGATAAAACAAAATGTTGCTATGGACATGGTATAAAAATATCTCTGAATCTCTGCTTTCAATGTTTTTGGACATCTCTCTCTCTCTCTGTTTCTCTTTCTCTCTCTCTCCATTGCTGGATCTTATGACCCTTCTCTTTTGTTTTTGTTCTTTGTGACAGTCCTGGGATTTGAACTTGGGGCCTAGGTGTTTGTCCCAGAGCTTTAAGTATGCTCAAGGCTAGCACTCTACCACTTGACCCACACCTCTACTTTTGCTTAATTTTTAGTGGCTAATTAGAGATAAGAGTCTCATAGATTTTCTTGCCCAGGCTGGCTTTGAACCAGGATCCTTAAATATCAGCCTCCTGAATTGCTAAGATTACAGGCATAAGCCACCGGCACCCAGCTTGACCCTTCTCTTGAGTTTTTGAAGTGCTGCCATACGTTTTCTGCACATCTGATGATTACATTTTATATCCCCACCCGCAACGCACCCAGGTTGCAATTTTCCCACACCCTTACCAACACTTGCAACTTTCTGGAGTTTTCTGCTTGTAGAAATATCCTACGAGGCATGAGGTGATAAGCTTAGACTGTACTTCAGACAAGGAGGTAGCTGGGGATGGAGTCTGCTCTGTCCAGTCACCTTCCATCCTCTGCTCCATACCCTCCCTGGCTTCCTGGCCACACTGTGAACAAGAGCCAAGTCCCTCACTGTGACTGACAAGGCCCTGTTGGAAGCTGGCTTCTTGTATCCTTCTTAACTCCTCTGGCTTCTGCTACACTGAGAACATTCCAGAATGTCCCATCCTCTGGGTCTTGGCCCTGGCTGTCTCCTCTACCTGGTCCCCACAGTACCGCACACTCACGCTTTCTTCCCTCTCAGATCTCTGTTCAAATTCCTCCTCTCAGAACCCCGTTCTTAGGATGATACTCCTGCTCTTGCCCGTTCCATACAATAACCCTGCTTTTTTCCTTTTTTGGTCATATCTGTATACCTGAATCAGTCTAGCAGTAATTGAATGTTCTAGGATGGAAGAGCACATCTCTCTTATAAGTCCCTGTAAGAAATAGCTCAGGATGTTAGGAGTATTGCTTAGGAATAAGGACCCCAGGCTCGAAAGGAACTTGGAAAGGCCAAGTTTACTTTTGCAGAAGCGTGAGCCATCAGCCAAAAACCTGGCAAGCAAGCACACAGAGCAGCCAGGGTGCTCCCTTTATATCCTTATCTCAGCAGGCCCAGCCCCTCTGCTCTGATTGGTGGAGCTCAGGCTCACAGTCTGGAAAAGGATGTGGCTTAAATTAACAGGATGAAACGAAAATGCAAGGAGCTCATAACAGGATATCTTTGTGCTCAGGGAAAAGGATGTATGTAACTAAAATGTAATGAACAAGGACCAAGACACCTGACCAAAGCAGAAACCCTTCAGGAAAACCATTCTCTCAAAATTAACAGAAAGGAAGCAAACTACTTGGATAGGAAAGATGTTTTACTCACACCCCCAACTTCTCAGTTTCGAGAACAGTGTATATCAAGCCTCCATCAGATGGTTAAATGAATAAATGCACAAATGAAGGTTTCAGCTACCACATCCACCTGTCTAGCCAAGGCAAAAATAAATAAAGGAAGATCTCATGGTGCCTTTAGAATTGCTTGTGTCTGTGCTAGCCAGTCTGAGCTCTCCAGAGAGAGCGGGGAGGGGAGTGTACTCACATGAGTTTCCACGTCACCAGCAAGGATTCTACTGTTCTTTAAAAACTCGGCCACCATCCCATTCATCAGCTTATCAAAGGCTTCCACGGAGGGTGCCATGTCTGTGGAAGAGGAACCTCTTGTTAATTCCTGAGCGTGTGATGAAAGGCAGGGGCTATCTAGACACAGGGGAGGTGGAAGGCTAATAGCATCCAAGTCATCCCCACCCATTCATTCACATCCTCAACTTCACTAGGTTTTTACCACTTCTCCATGGCTCAGGGGAACGTGGGTCTGTTGATGTGCAGTCCTCTTATGCTGGGACTTGGGCATCATTTCATCCACTCTCTCCCAAGCCCAGAATCCTATCATCACAGTGACACGGGAAGGAAATTGGGTTGGTCCAAAGTTAAACCCTAACGAAAGGCAGATCCAAAAATCACTCTTTGTATTCTTCCACTGTGAACTCTCCAGGTGCTGCCCAGTGTCACAAATAGTCACCAAGAGGGTGCCTAGAAATGCAAAGGGGATCAGGAACTCTGGGCAAGGAGGCAAAGAATGAAACCATTACTCATTTCTTCCTTCTTTCCTTCTGGGAAGGAAGGGCAGTGATAGCCAGTCTAAAAAATAACTGGTGAGCCTACACAGATAGGGTTTGAGTGGCCAGTTCACTGTAAAATTGGAAGTGACAGCGGTCAGTCGGTGTGATCTGTTTCCTTATCTGCTTTTTTGGAGGGGAGGAGGTAATACTGGGGGTTAAAACTTGGTTTTCTTGCTTGGCTGACATTCTACAACTTGTGTTATGCCTCCAGTTCAGCTTTTTGCTGGTCAACTGGAGATGGAGTCTTATGGACTTTTCTTCCTGGACTGCCTTAGAACCTTTATCCTTCCAGATTTTAGTCTCCTGAGAAGCTAGAATTATAGGCATGAGCCACTGGCACTTGGGTTTTCTGCTCTTCAGTTAATGGAGTGGGGTGGGGACACCCCACAATGAAATCCCTGACTTCCATCTATTAAGAACATCATTTCTAAAGCAACCCATGGCAGTGAATTTAGTGAGTTGCATTTTAATCCAACCCAAACCTAGCCTTACCTTTCTTCTATCAAAAAAATACATTCTCCATGCTCACAAAACCACAGGATCGTGCTTCATTTTCTCTTTTTTCCTAATTTCCCATTTCCATAGGCCCCAAGGTTGAAAAACAGAACAAAACAAAACAACAACAACAACAAAAAACCCAACCCACAGCAACTGACAGCACCTAAGGTCAAACTTCTAAGCAGATGGTTGAAGGTGAGTCATCTTTAAGTTCAAAGTATAGAATCTGACAACTTCTGCAAAACATGAAAGTACATAAAGATTCTGTGTGCATTAAATAAAACTCCCAAACCGACCTTGTTTATGGGTATATGAGATGCCCAAGAGTGTCTAAAGGGGGTGAATGTTTTAGAAGGAAACAGAGACCTCTAGCAGATAAAAGTGAATACTTTCTGGGTTCCTTTCATCACTGATTTCAGTGCGGTCTCCTTTAGGCAGCCTCTAATGATCTGTTCTTCCTTCAGACTGCATCCTCTGAACACTTACTAATCAGAGGACACTGTAGCTCTGAATAGGAATGCATAGAGACCAAGGATTCTAAATGATTCAGATGGTGTGCAATTCATGGGAGATTTCCTGTACCTAGCATGGTGCTGGCCATGTGACAGGAATACAATATATTCTTCCCTTGATTGCTGGAGAAGTGGTGGGGGGGGGGGGAAGGGAGCGGGGGGAGAGGGCAGTGCCACATCCTAAAATTCATTGTAACACCAATCTAATAATAGGGTAGTCCATGATCCGATTATGTATTCGTAATGGATTGTGTTCTTGCTAATGTTTCTCTTACAGCAAAATTTATTTGATATAGTAAATAATATAATAATATATTGATATGGTATATAATATAGTAATACACAATAGTGGTTTATATTTAAGATTAAAGGTTGTTTTTGTCCTTTTTTGCTAGTAAATACAAAGAAACTACTAATGATTAAAGAAATATGTAAGTACAAAACTAAGCCTCAAAATAATCAAGTGTTGGGATTATAGGTGTGTGCTACCCAATGGTGTACTTAAGGATTCTACTTAAAGATTTATTGAAAATGGAATTTTTAAAAACTACCAAAGCTTACTAACCAAACAGAAATTTAAAAATGGTGTTAAAGATTAAATAAAAAAAATCTTAAGGGTGGAGATATCATTCCTACATTTTACTAATTATTCAATCTCCTAATTATTTCATTTCATATAGGCTAATAATGCCAGGTAAGTTGTTTTAGAAGACCTCTGCTTTAATAATTGGTTTGGAGTAATTTTCTCTATTAGAAAATATTTGTTTAAACACTAAATAATTTAATTATGTGCTCTTTAGTCTTACTTAGCCAATAGATTCTTTTGAATTTTTATTTTGTAATAAGGAAAATACAAAGTTCAGGTTACTACTTATTTGAATATATGAGGTTCAAATTACTGATATTTTTGCATTTTTTATTCAAAAATATTATACAGTCTCCCAGGAAGCTGATTTTTACTTTGGTTAGTATATTTCCAAGGTCTTCTGTTTACATTTTTTTTGGTCCTGTGGTTCCCTCCTTTTCTTTCCTTTTTTTTTTTTTTTAAAAAAATTCTTTATTGTGATTAAGTGGTTACATAATTTCCCAAATTTCACAGCATTATGGGATAGGATGCTTAGTTAAAGTCACAAACTCATTCTAACTTTCATGGGGCAAATTGTCTATCATGGTTATAACATTTATGAGTTCTATGAGCTTTGCAATACAGTTATTTCTTTCACATTGGGTGATATGTACGTTTCTTTTGTTTTGCATAGCATCAGCTGCTCCCTCTTTCCCACTTGTTCCCTCCTTCCCATTGCTGCCATCGAGTTGCTTAGTTCATTTTGATCAATGTCCAGTGCAGCTGATGAGTCCTGCTGTTGTATGTTTTTCCCTGATTCCTTCTAGTTCTGTGTCATCCTCCTGGTTTCCCTCTGATCACATATAGATCAGCAGCATGGGGTTATTTAGTAGTGATTTGACCAGATGAGTGGGAGTCCTTTGTTTCTTAAGTCTTGTTAATTTTGTCATATCACCTTACATTTTGGATTTAACATCCACCTATCAGGGAGACCATGTGACATTTGTCTCTTTGCTCTTGGCTTACCTCCCTCAACATGATTTCTTCTAGCTCCATCCATTTCCCTACAAATGCCATTATTTTGTCCTTTCTAATGGCTGCATAATATTCCATTGTGTATAGATACCACAATTTTTGGATCCATTCATCTGTGATGGGACATCTGGGTTGTTTCCATATCCTGGCTATTGTGAACAATGCTGCAATAACATGGAGGTGCATGTGTCCTTGTATACTGGTTCCTGTTGTTCAGGATAGATGCCTAGAAGTGGTATGACTGGGTCATAAGGGAGGTCAACATTTAGCTTTCTGAGGACCCTCCAGACTGCTTTCCAAAGTGGTTGTGTAAGTGTACATTCCCACCAGCAGTGTAATAGGGTTCCTCTTTCTCCGCATCCCCTCCAACATTTGTCATTGGCTGACTTTAGGATGTTCTGACTCAGGGTTGTCTTTATTTGCATTTCCTTCACAACCAGGGATGGTGAACATTTCCTCATGTGTTTCTTTGCCATTTTTCTCTCTTCTTCTGAGAAGTCTCTCTTTAGTTCCCTTGCCAATTTAGTAATTGGTTTGTTAGGTTTGGGAGGGCTTAGTTTCTTGAGTTCCCTGTATATACTGAATATTAACTCCTTGTCTGATATATTGATGATAAATATTTTTTTTCCCAGATAGTTGGTTGTCTTTCTAGCTTGGCTGCTATAGCTTTAGCTGTGCAGAAAAATTTTATTTTAAGGTAGTCCCATTTGTCAAGTTTCTCTCCAATTTGTTGTGACCCTGGAACTCTGTCAGGAAGTTCCTGCCTGTGCCTATAAGTTCAAGTGTCTCTCCTACTCTGTCCTGCAGTAGTTTCAGAGATGCAGGTTTGATGTTAAGGTCTTTAATCCATTTTGAGTTGGTGCTGGTGCATGGTGATAGGCTGGGGTCCACTTTTAGTTTTCTGCATGTGGCTTCCCAGTTTTCCCAGCACCAGTAGTTGAAAAGGCTGTGTTTCTTCCAATGTATTTCTTTGGCTCCTTTGTCAAATATCAGCTGACTGTAGGCATGTTGTTTTATTCTGGATCTTCTATTCTATTCTATTGGTTTTCAGATCTGTTTTTGTGCCAGTACCAAGCTGTCTTTGTTATTATGGCTCTATAGTAGAGTTTGAAGTCTAGCATCGAGATCCCTCCCATGTTGTCTTTTTTGCCTAGAATTGTTTTGGCTATTCTAGGTCTTTTGTTGTTCCATATGAATTTTTGGACTGTTTTCTGTATTTCAGAAATGTACATCATTGGGATTTTAATAGGAATTGCATTGAATTTGTATATTAATTTTGGCAGGATTGCCATTTTCACTGTATTAAGTCTGCTTATCCACTTTGAGAAGTATCTGTAATACCTAATACCAGTGGTACCATAACAGAGTTGCTAAAGAGAATAAAGCCTAGAAGTCTCATATACCAACTAAACAACTAACAAAAAAGGCAGTGATATCACAGATATATCTCAGTTGACATGGAAAAACTCACAGCACCCTAGCAGCCTGGGCTCCCTTTCAATCCATTCAAAGTATTTTCCTCTGGGTGCTGGTGGCTCATTCTTGTAATCCTAGCTACTCAAGAGGCTGAGATCGGAGGATTGTGGCCCAAAGCCAGCCTGGGCAGACAAGTCTATGAGACTCATCGTTAATAAACCAACAAAAAGCCGGAAGTGGAGGTGTAGCTCAAGTGGTAGAGCTTCAGCCTTGAGTGGAAAAGCCCCACAAGAGTTCAAGGGCCTGAGTTCAAGATTCAGTACTGATACACGCACACACACACACACACACACACACACACACACACACACACACACACATTTTCATGTTTATTATAGCCAATGGAAATGACCCAATTAGCAAGTTCATGCTCAGATGCAGTCATTTGTCCCATAGTAAGTAGCACAAGGGATAGATAATACCAAATAAAACAGAGCTTCTAGACCCACCAAGTGGCTTTTTCCTAGAGAATGAGACAGTGAAGCCCTCTCCTTCCCATGGCTTTCTCAGCTTTCCCAAAGCCCAATTGTATTTAAAGCAGGTTAGATAAGGAGGAGAGACACTTGGGATAAGAACAAAACTGCCATATTAAATACACACTGACCTATAGAATTTGAATTTCAGCTAACCATAACTAAAGGTTTAGTATAATGTGTACCATGCAGTGTAAACCATGCAGTATTTAGGACACATTAAAAAAAAAGAAAAGAAAAAGATTTCTCCATTTCAAATTCAAAGTTAATGGGTGTCCTGTATTTCTATTTGTTAAATTGCAACATTACAGAAGAAAGATATAGACTAATTTCTGTGGATAACTTGGAAAGTTTCTTTTTAAAGGAAGCAGATGTTTGCTATTTATTTGTAGTACCTAGGTTTGAACTCAGAGCCTTGTGCTCTTGCTTGGCTTGTTTCCTCAGCTAGAGCTCTACCACTTAAGTCATGCCTCCAGCCTTCCATTTTAGCTGGCAATTTTGAAGATGGAGTCCCACGGGCTTTTCTGCTTAGACTAATAACCTCTAACTATGATCCTCTTATCTCAACCTTCTGAGTAACTAACATTACAGGTATGAGCCACCAGTACCCAAATTGCTTTATATATTTTTTTTTTTTTGTCGGTCGTGGGGCTTGAACTCTGGGCCTGAGCGCTGTCCCTCAGCTCTTCAGCTCAAGGCGAGCGCTCTACCACTTGAGTTACAGCGCCACTTCCGGTTTTCTGGTGGTTTATTGGAGATAGGAGTCTCACTCTCACGGTCTCTCCTGCCCGGGCTGGCTTTGAACCGCGATCCTCAGATCTCAGCCTCCTGAGTAGCTAGGATTACAGGCGTGAGCCACCAGCGCCCGGCAACTGCTTTATATTTTTGATACTCCCCAATTCTAATTTTTTTAGCATATAAAATTAAAAGACAGTGTTAGAAACAGGAAATGTGATATAGCTTTCTATCAGTCATCTCTGGCTTCCTTCAAAAGGTTGTACCTCCTAAATAGAATAACTTGTTCTCCTTAAAATAAAACTCTACAGTATGATAATTCCTTTTAATTTACATTGTAATTCAGAACATTCATTTCCTTTCTTTTTTAAAAAATAATTACTTAGATAATATAGTTAGCCAGTGAGTGCTAGAAGAACAGTATAAACACTGAAATGGAAAAAGAATCATATTTGGCCCAAGGACTTTTGCTTTTAAAATGCGCAGATATTAGTAATTTTTGTGTTGAAAGTTTTAACATTTATTTTTCTAATAGATGTGCAAAAATTGTATGTATTTGAGAGGGGGAAAAAACCTTCATATTTTTTCTTCCTCTTCCTGCTTTGCTTATGGTTCCCTATCAAGGAAGGAGGGGGAGAAACTGAGGAAAGCAGGTCGACAGATTTCCGCAGGACTAAATGATGAGAACAAAATCGCGTGGCCCACATAAAGACTGGCAATGACGATGGTGTGTGGGCCTACCTCCATTGACACCATTAACTTCTCCACAGGCCCCAGGCGGCCTGAGAGGCTCTGCAGACAGCTGCTCCAGCCGGCTGACCGCACGTTCCAGCCTCTCCATCAGTCCGTGCATGTCGGCCATCCTAGAAAGACACAGAGACAAAAGGAGGCCAAGTGAGCACCAGCAAGGATCAGCAAACCAACACCACCACACCCAGCAGCAAGAAGGGAAACAAAAGCAACTTAGAATGACCTGGTACCAATGGCTCACGCCTGTCATTGTAGCTACTAGGGAGACCGAGAATGGGAGATTTGGGGTTCAAGGTCAACCTAGGCAGAAAAGTTCAAGAGACCTGTAACTGGATACTAGCAAATGCCTGTGATCCTAAATTATGGGAGGCTGAATTGGGAGGACCACAGTTCCAAACCAGTACAGAAAAAAAAACATCTTTGAGACTCTATCTCAATGGCATCACCCATGTCCATCTACCCAGAAGCCTAAAATAAGCAGATTATAGTCCAGGTGTGTACTTGAGCAAGAAGTTACATCCTATCTTGAAAACAGCCAAGCACTGGTGGTTCATGTCTATAACCTTAGCTACTCAGGAGGTTGAGATCTGAATATCATGGTTTGAAACCAGCTCAGGCAAGAAAGTCCATGAGACTCTTATCTCCAATTAACCACTAAAAAGCTAGATGTGGAGTTGTAGCTCAAGTGGTAGGTTGCTAGCCTTGAGCACAAAAGCTCAGAGACAACACATAGGTACCAAGTTCAAGCCCCAGGACAGGCACTTACACACACACACACACCCCAAACAAAAATGAAAACAAAGAAGCACCAGAGGAGGAAAGAGCTGGAAGCATGGCTAAGTGGTAGAGCACCTGTCTAGTGAGCATGAGGCTCTGGGTTCAAACCCTATAATTACCAAACAAACAAGCAAATTATTGCTCAAAATGGCTTGAATCACCTGAAAAATCACTTTTCCCCATCAGGAAACATGCATGAAATGCAGAAAGAATATAAAACTTGGAACAAAAGCAAATTGGATTGATCTTAGTTTTACTCAATTCAGTAACTTTGAAACAAAGTAAACATGAGTACTGTATCGGAGACACAAGTATTAACTCCCTCCCCATCCCTTCCAGGAGCCAGCTCAGATGCTTCAGTGTCACAGGATGCCATTTACATATGGCACTTACTTAACAACCCACAAACACTAACTCCAAATTTATATTGTCTACTTTTATCCTGCTAAATGGGGGAAGCACATTAACTATTTTCAACAATTCTTTCTGTTAAAGTGTAGTCCCCAGGGAACTTTGAAACCAATAATAATCTTCATTTACTCAATTATAAGACACCCAGCCCAGCAAAGAACTGTGAGTTTAGAAAGCTGTGCATCGATCTGCAAACAGGGAGGGAAATCACCCTGAGCATTAACTGTTATGACCAGATTGTTCTTTTTTTTTTTTTTTTCTGTTGCTCAGCTATTTGAAAGTGATTCTGAATGGTTGGGTTGGACTTTTTTTTTTTTTTTAATTGTGAAAATACTGTACAGAGGGGTTACAATTACATGAGCAAGATAATGAGTACATTTCTTATCAAGCATTGTAGCCTCCTCCTTTGTTTCCCCTTCCCATTCTTCTCCCGACCCCCCAATCCTCCCCTCCCCCCCCCCCCTCCTCCCCCCCCGCCCCCCGCACCAAAGTTGTAAAGTTCGTTTTCGACATAACGACTTGTACATCTCATTGTTGCAATGGGTCCACCTGTATCCCTATTTAAACGATTTGTTTTTCCCCTTCCCCTCCACAAAGTATACCGACATCAAATACAGTGAAAGCAGGGGTTATACTGTGGGGGAGGGACATACAAAGCAACAAAGAAATAATCTTATAAATGTGTTAGAAACAATCGCATGAAAGAAAAAAAAACATTTGAATACATATCTTAGGGTTCATTTCCCTAACATCACCTTTGGGTTGGACTTTTAAAGCTATGAAACATAGGTGTTGTCCTTGTGTAAGGCTGCTGGTTGTTTTTAGGTGACATTTAGTGTTAGATGGGCTGGACTTTCAAGATAGTATCTCCAGGAACTCAAGATTCTTGCTGGTTAAGAGATCGGGGATAACCAGGTGCCAATGGCTCATGACTATAATCCTAACTATTCAGGAGGCTGAGATCTGATGACTGGTTTGAAACCAGGCAGACAAATCTGAGAGACTACTATCAATAAAACAGCAAAAGAAAGCAGGAAGTGGAGGCCTGGCTGGAGTGGAAGAGTAGCAGTCTTGGGTAAAAAAGCTACACAAGAGCATGAGGGCAAAAATTGCAGCCCTAGTACTGACATAAAGTGGGAGAGGAGAGAGGAGGAAGAGCAAGGAAGGGGAAAGAAAGGTGAAGGGAAGGTGGGGAGGGAAGGACAGAAGAGAAGTTGGGAGTGGGTGGGTATCCATCTTTATACTCTGTAGATACTGTGTAGGTCAATCCCTTAAAATGATTGGTCCTAGAATTTATATTTACATTCCTTTGAGGAATGGAAGCTGATAAGACTTTTGGCCCTGTTCACGAGAACCAACATTTATAAGCATCATAAACCTGGCCATTTCTGCTTTGGATTGACTTTGGCAAAATGGGTCTGTTGCTCCAAAGAAAATAAAACATGTCTTGCCTGAATCAGTGCCCATGGTGACTTTTCACACTAAAGAATTTTCAAATCATCATCATTCTGGGCAAAAGAGGAATAGCAAGTTTGGGATTCAGACACATTGCTGCCATAGTACACGGCTAAGTTTCAGTGTTCTGACATGTGTGCATATTTTATATTTCTTCAGGGAGCCAGATATTTTAGATACAATGATGGCAGACCACTGTGGTTTTTCTTTCCCCAAAGCAAGGCTAAATGCATCAGTGTATGCATCCATCTCTGTAATTTTGCATCCGCATGCCAGTCGTCAGAGATGGAGGCAGAGCACCCCGTCTATTTTGGAAAACCTTCTCTTCCAAATCTGCCAAACTATGGAGCAGGTTCTCAGCACAGCTGAAATCAGCATCTAATCCCAAGGGGATGCAAAATTAGAAGTTTCTCATCTATTCTTTTCCTCTTCACGTCAGAGCTTTTGATTCCATCGCAAGTGAAGACAGGAGAAAAAAAAACAAAAAAGGAAGGAGAAATTTAATTGAATCCTTTACATAATCTTTTTGCCAGGGAACTGGGTATCATGTAGGTGGGTTGAAGGCCATTTGAGACATGTTGAAAGCCCCTCAAATCTTTTAATAGTTGTCCATCTGTTCACAGTTATCTCTGTTCCCTGTTACTCAACTTTGCCAAATGTTAACCACCACAGACCTAGTCTATGATAGAAAAAAAAGAGTGTTTGCATTGTTAGCAGGCTACATTAGCTCCACCCCCAGCTGAAGCCCCCTGCCACTCCAGCAGGACGGGGAGAGGGGGGGAGGGGGAGGGATGGGTTTGCACTGTGGTTTTGCACATCCAGGACTGACTTCTCTGACTGTGGCTTTATCAGTCTCCTGACCAGATCCCAAGTTACATTATCTCATAGCAAGGGCTCCATATGTTGAAAGTCAGCGTGAGTGAGTCTGTAATTGCTATGGAATGTAGTTCCCAAGGGACTTGGATGTCACTGCAGGTTACAATCATCACCAACAGGACTCAAGTCCTTCTGTAGTCTCTAAAGATATAAATACAGCTCATCAAAGGACACACACACACACACTATATATATATATATAGAGAGAGAGAGAGGGAGAGAGAGACATACACACACACACACACACACACTGGAAAGCGGCTGATGCCTCTGGGTTTACAATTTTAAAACAGTTTCTAAGAGAAGCTGAATAATAAATAAAAGAAAGAAAGTATCACGTTAGCATTCCCAGAGTGACTGATGGGGTCTGAGATTTCTAGGCTCTCAACATATTCTTTTTTCACGTGCTCTTTTACATACTCTGTCTTTCTGTCTGTCTGTCTGCCTGTCCCCACACAGGCCCTCAGTTGCTATCCTGGCCCTCAAGAATGAGGAAAGACAGATTGTAGATTCTCCAAATTTTTGCCAGGTGGTCTCTTTTGCTTTCACTTTTTACAGTGGACTTAAATTTTGACAGGAGCTGGAAATTAAGAATTAGGTTGTGACTGGGCATGGGCAGCCCATGCTGATAATCCAAGATATTTAGGAACTGGGAATTGGGAGGATTGGAATTCTAGGCCAGCTTGGGCAAAATAAGTTCCAGCTATACAGGAGGCACAGATGTGAGACCAGCCATAGGCACAAAGCAAGAGACCTCACTGGAAAGTAGCTAAAGCAAAAAACAAAGGTTGGAGGTGTTACTCAAGTGGAAGAATGCCTGCCTAGTAAGCATGAAGCCCCAAGATCAAATCCCAGTTAAGCATCCCCCCCCGCCCCTGCAAAAACAAGAAAAAGAATCAAGTTGAGAAAGCACATTGGATAGTCAAAGCAAATACAAATAGCACAGTCAGAGAAAGGAATGCGTTGGTGGACCCACAGCTCTATATGTGGGTCAGGAGCTACACTGAGGGATAAGGCATGATGGCTGGACAGTAAGTAGTCTAAGAACCAAAAAGAGGTGTGTGTGTGTGTGTGTGTGTGTGTGTGTGTACGTGTGTGTGTGTGTGTGTGTGTGTGTGTGTGTATGTGTGTAAGGAAAAAGAGGAAGGACCTAGCATCTCACAATTTCATCCTCCCAGAGATCTGTTTTTTCCTTCATGTAGGAATTCTTTTTTTTAAGTTAGTTTATATTAGTTGTTATTATAAAGGTGATCTACAGAGGGACTACAATTACCTGAGTCAGGTAACGAGTACGTTTCCTTTCACAGAGTATCTTCTGTTCTCTCGCTGTTTCCCCTAGCGAGCTGTTTTAAGAATCTCTATGACATTAACCTTGATTCCTTGTATTATATTTACTTTTGAGTGTCTCTTTTGAGTTGCCTTGTAATGAGAAGTATACCCATTCCTGTGTGACATTATTGTTATTTTTAAAATTTGAATTTTACCCACATCTTTCCTTTTTCATGCTAGTTTATCCTTTTGGTTTTTCTTTTTGGTGTTGGTCCTGGGGCTTGAACTCAGGGCCTGAGCACTGTCTCTCAGCCATTTTGCTCAA